CGGTGACAACGATGACGACAGCAGCGGCGGCGGCGGCACCAACAACGATAGTCTTTCGCTTTGTCAGATGCTAATATGTCGACGCCATTGGTCAATATGCCGCGTTCCGCCCGCGGTCGGGGATGCCGCTAGTCTCAGTCAGCAAACCAAGTGACAGTTCGGATAGCTAGCGACAGCGGTGCGTGTCGGGGTCCTCTCGTAGGTCGCGGCTTCGATGCTGTCCTGCTCCTTCGAAAGCCCGCTGTTCGCTCTCATTCCTCGTCCCGCCCTACCAGCGGATATCCTTTGCGCAAACAACACTGACTAACGGACAAGGCACGCAGAAGATGACCGAACGTGCGACAAGCCGCAGGCGTAGCTCAACCCTCCGAGGCAGAACATTCCAGTGGTTGACAAGCAGAGACGACGAGAGCAGATGGAGAGACCGAGAGCGGAACTCGGCCGGGAGAGAGGGAGACCTGGGCTTGAAAAATATGAGTCGAGGTAGATCAAGCTCAGCATCCACACACGAACTTTGTCCCAGCTGGCTTGACGTCATGTGACGACGGGACGACAAGTCGAGCTGTCTGGCCGTCCGCGCATCGAATACCCGGCTCGGGTTCGAACTCCCCGAGGTGCGCGTCCGCTTTGTTCTAGCATCTCTTCCGTTCCGTAAATAAGAAAATGAATAATAACAATAATAATGAATACCTGAATGAAGAATGTTCAGGAGAATGTGTCAGGGCTGCTCCTGGGGAAAAAATCTGGAAATCCGGACAAAAAATCGGAGAAAAAGTTCTCGACTAAAATAATGCGTCCTGTCACGCCGTATCGGTCACGGCGACCTGGTGAGCAGGCCCGCCCGCCCGCGCGCCGCGCCCCTGTCACTTTGTACGGGCTCGTCTGGAGCTCGCAGCAACAGCGACGACCGACGTCGACGGCAACGACAATGCCACCGACCGACCTCCATTGTTCTAATCTGACGGTGTGACCGGGCGCTGTTTCATTAAGGTTTCCAGACGTCAGCACCTCGACGAGGGGACAAGCAGGCGGCGGGAAACGCTCGTCCCAGCGAGGAACAACGACGACGACACAGGGAATAAGAACACAGGCAGTCACACTTGCCGCCATGGGATCATTCGACGCCTGTCCGGATCACTCTCAGGTTCACTTGTTCGCCACTCGCTTTCGCCTCTGCCGGGCGCGTTCGCCCGCCGAGAACTCAACAGACTCTGCTGAGGTGGGCGGTCGCATTGTAGGCGCTACCTCGGGCGATAACCGGGCGATAGAGACTGTCGGTGATTAGAAACTAAATCAATACGCCGCCGCACTGCTCATTCGTTCGCTCCTTGTGACGTTCGGTCGATTCTCCTTGCGCTCTGCCTCGTCTAGACCTTCCCTCGAGCTCTGAATACGAGTGGGCTTATTCCGGAGGGAGATTTTTTCTCCTCCCTCTAACAAGCTCGTTCGCGAGCGTGGCGGAGCACGCCTGGAGCCTGCAATGTTCCTCGATGACGTTTCCCCCTTCCGAGGAACACGCCGGAGCAACTTTCCTCTGCGAGTCACCTTCAAGCTGCGCTTCCCCTTGCAAGCAGCTTACAGACTGATGCGCGTGTCATGACAAGGGATGGGAGGGGCGTCGGAACGACTAGATGTCAGCACGTTATTCAGTTCTTCGCTTTCCCTCCCCCCATCGAATTTCCCCCGACGCTGGAAGAACACACCCTTGATTCTCGATACCTCCTTTCAATACATAGCCATTCGCGCAGCGTCATTCTCGAATTCCGCCGCCGCCGCCGCGGGAACCAACGTTCCGAATAGCGAAATGAATTTGTTTCAATCGATCCCTCAATGGTGATAGGTGGGGCTGAATACTCTTCGCGGAAAATTCCCGCCAAACTCGCGGAAATTCGCGGTCTCATTGAAGCTCTATGAAGAGTAGCCGGGAACCGCGAAAAGTGGCGGTCTGCGAAAAATCTTCAGCTTTAGTGATAGGTATGGGAGACGATTTTTCCCGCGATTGGTAGATTCCGGTTGAGTTTCCCCGATCGATTGGTTTGTGAGAAACTGCGGACCGTGGGTGTGCACCGCTTGGTCGCAGCCAAAGCATTGGCATGACATGTCCTGGATGCATTTATGGTTGCAAGTTTCCTGGCCTGCGTCACGCTAAGGGTGGCGTCAACGTTTCAGCCGTTCTTGTCGTCGCTCATCGTATATGACGCAAGGGTCGGTGCCGCGACCTCCGTCTCTACTGCCAGGACCTTCTTCTCCTCTCTTCGAAACAGACTGGACGAGTCGGTAATTTAGATTTAAATTATTCTCTCTCGTGGAGGCGCAAAATTAGAAAACATGAGATTTCATGGCCAAACGACTTCCTCCGAGGCAGCTCGCTGGGGGAAGTCGAAGACCGATACGTCCGAGAGTTTTGCATGCGGGAAAATGTGGATTTCCATTCGATTGAACTCCATGAATCGCTCCTGTGGCATCGTACGTGGCGTACGGAAGGCTCAGCCGCAAACAGCATCGTCTCCGGAGAATGCTTTTCAAGGGACATTGATCTCAGTGCTGGCAGAATGTTGCCTACAGACACCGCCCATGAGTCGCACGGCAAGAGATTTTGTCAACAGGCCCTCGTTTTCTGCCGTCTGTAGCTACATGTGTACACAAATCTCAAGTGCTGTGGTGCGGTCGGAGGTTCGCGGTGCTGGAGCGCTGAGCGCGCGCAAAGGTTCCGAAAGAATGTTTGTTCACAAGTGGTTTGTTGTCCTTCGGGAAATTGTGAGGAGTCTGCGTCGAAGCGAGGATCATCACTCACAGTGAGCGATTCGGCAGCCAGAAGGAAGACGAATGATATTTCCACGCGGAAAACTCATGCGGCATTGGTAGGCGGTGGGTGGGCTGTCTGCCTTGCCGTAATTAGCCTTGAGAAACCTAATGAAGCCAAAGGTGGCTCTCACACGCGGGAACTCCCGTCATAGCTCGTTGATGGAGCCGCGTGTTCTATTTTTACAAGGATCGGCACTGCATGTTTGCTCTCACGCCCGGATCCCTCAGTGTCCGTTGATGATCGCTCATGCAAACACAAATAAATAAGGCTCCAGGGAACACCGGAGGAGTCTCCGGCGTCCAAAGTAAACATAAACCGAACTAGAGATCCGAGATCGCGAATCGTTCTGGCGACAGTTACGCGGAATCAAACTATCCCGGATAATTGCAGAGGCTCTGCCATGCGAGGGCCAGCTCGAAGCTACGAGGTTGCGATGGCACTTCGTTTCGAATTCGGTGGTACCGGTGTATACGACAGGGTGGTCGACGGCTAGCGCTTCGCTCGAGTCAGCGATCGCTGCCCGACTCCTTGCCGTTAGTTTCAGGCACTTGGAATCTCGACGGATTTTACGTTCACGGCGAACGAGAAGAGATCCGAAAGGTCCTGGTAAAGGTATTCTCTTTTCCGTCGTGGAAGCAAGTCCCCGTCTCAGCTCTCAGCGGAGATTCGGTTTCCAGCCTCAAGTCTTGTCGTTGTCAAACATCGAACAGTCAGCGGGCCTCTAGTGCCGAATTTCGAGGCCTGTCAAGCAATCGATACAATCGGACCGTTCATTAGGTCGGCAAAAAAAGTTCGACTGAGAGGATCCGGGACCGGTGATCACGGACCGGGTGCGGCCTTAAGTTTGGGGTTCAAATTTCCGATGTCGTGACGTAGGCGATAGAGTCCTCCAATCACTCACCGATGGCTGACTCATTCAGCCAGCGATTCGCAAAAATAATCGGGAGCCGGCGGTCGTTTCTATTTTTGGGGCTCGCTCGGTCAATCTACGAGAGCAGGAAGGACGCAGGCCGGGATCCCCGAACTCTCGCACCGACCCTTATTGCCTCCAACACCTGAAGTGTCATCAAATAGTTTTCTAGTACGGGGAAGGGGACGTAGCTTCGGAGAGTTGAGCAATTTCAGAGGAGTGAGCCAGGGGTATCGAGTTCGGAAATCGTTTCCTCAAAAGTCAGTCCCCGCCGTTTTCCTTGATGGAATATTAGAAAAGGGAGCGGAATTTCGAAAGCAAGTCCACGGATCCACCTCGTCGACATGGCGATTGGGCAGGAAAAGTCGGCAGTGTCCGCTTCTCATCGTATGTCGGTCCTCATCATTTCTCCCCTTGAAGTTGTATGATATGTGGTTCATTATATCATCATGATGATAATTATGTTGTATTATATTCTTATGCTATATCATTCAGTCTAACATACGCTGGCCGATACCAATGAAGGGAACCGAGTCTGAATTGGAATGTAAAATAGAAATGATCATTCCGACTTCTCGTCATTTATTCATCAAATATTTACAAAGCGTCTCGAATCGCGCGAACTCGTTCGCGTTCCCCAGTACCAATAGTATTGACAAACAAGCTCTTGCTCTCACGATAAGAAATTCGTTTGATGGCGAAAAACAGGGCGCTGTCGACGCACATCGGTGCCTCGAGCATCTGGATGACGAGATGAACCCCTCGTCCGATGGGTTAAACATTCGTCAAGGTCAAGGTTGGGGTTCGTTTTCCCTTCTCAATGATTTTCTCAGCAGGCTGCATATCGAGGCATCGATATCTCATCCAATTTGATATTCGAATATGCAGAAGTCGCTTGATAACTGCGAGAAATGTCTTTCGCACGTAGCTTTGCCTCAACGGATGAGTCCGCGATCGTTAGAGCGACTCACAGAACGGCTGCATTGGTTCCTGCATGGCTGGGCAGCTCCCCTCCTCGTCGATCTCTGCTCCTTTTCCGATTTCTTCCTGCCGGATCCATATTCTTCAGATCCGTCTGCTTATCTCTCCTTCGCATTCTGCTGATTCTTTCGAATAGTGGTTTCCTCCCATGCTGCGACTGAGGACCAGATTCGGCGCTCGTGGCTCCGGCGGGGGCGAAAGCACGAAGGAACGAACGGACGAATAAACCAACGAGCAAGCGAGCGAGTGAACGAAAGCACACAACGCTCACGAGCGCACACACACAATCACACACGAACATTTGTATTGTAAATGATATGCGGACGAGAATAGGGGAGTCGATATGCTTTCGGAACGTAGTGCGTCTCCTAACATCGATCGTATTATTTACACATTCACAGATACGACAAGAAAGTTTGATCTATGTTGTCGAGAAACATTCACGCGACTGAACGATATTTCGTCGACGTCAGCAGTAGCGTCAAGGCCGACACTAACAACGTCGTCATCGAGTCGAGTACAGTGTTGTAGCCCGCCCGTGCCGACACCGAGTTCGCGGAATCTGTAAACAAATTGGAAATCCTCCTTCAAATCGTGTTTTGACGGAACAGAATCCCGACACGGCAGACATCCTCTCTGGCGTCTCGTTAGTTTCAAGAGATCGATCCCACTCTCCAGAAAACGGATATCTTTCGCTCTGGGCTGTCAGCCGGAGTTTTCCTCCGGCGCCCCAAGAAGCTCTGATTCCGCACGGGTTTCGGACCTCCGCCCGCACCGGATTCCATGAAATCGAAATTAGCAAACAAGGTCCGGCATGCGCTCCGTACTCACACTGACTTAGGTTGTTGTCGTAGATTGACTGTGGTTGCTGCTGTTGCTGCTGCCGCCATCTCGAGCCATCCGGAGAACGGTGGATGACGTGAGGTCGTTTAGGTCCGTCCACCTCGGCGATACATTTCAATTGCAGCTGATCGTTGTGGAAATGTCCCGCTCGAACTAAAAACATTCCGGGAGATCAGTCACGTCACACTCCGTGCCGTTTCAAGTATAGAACCGAGAGAGAAAATCGTTCCGGCGATCGTTCCCTCGTTTGGGGAAAACGACCAGGGAGTGACCAAGAACTCGGAACGACCACCGGGGTTCCGCTGTTGCGCGGAGCCCACGATGTCGCCTTACGCAAGCTCTTGCGTGGACGTCTCCTTTGAAGGAGGCGCGATGACGGAGACTATATTTAGCCTCAGATTTACGGAATCGGCCCCCGCTCGCTCGACGACGACGACCGCTCGAGTCGTCGTCCCCGTATCTTGTTTATTCAGCGCGGAATCCTTCTCATTGCCCTATCGCTTATCGGGGGCTTCTTCGGGAGCGGCTGCAGTGCCGCAAAAAGCGCTGTCGCCCACCCCAAGGGAGCGACCAATCATGTGGCGCGCCAGCGCAACCTATTCCGCTTTATGCCACTTCACGTCTACCTGTTTGAGTAAACTGCGTGTGTGCGAGTGAGAGCGACCGTGAGAGTGAGGGAAGGGGGTAGGGGGTAATGGGGGAGCGCGTAAGGTATTCCAGGATGCGGAAACGCTAGAGCACGGCGGCTCGATGTTGTGTGGCGAGAGCCTTGGGGTAGAAATGCAATTTGCGGTGAGTTCTGGCACGAACGAGTTTCTCTGTGTGCGCGCTGGCGGCGGGCAGTAACGCGAGCGTGAAGCGGGTCCTCGGGCCATGAGCTGAGGAAAACGCACGTTGACTCCGCTTACCAATGAATTGCAGTCCGAGCGCTGTCCGGAAGCGTCCCTGGCTGAGTTTCTCGGGTTGATACTGGAGCAGAAAACGAGTCGGGACCTCTTCGTCGTTAAGGAGCCATTGTAGAGATACGGGCTTGCCTTGCCGAGTGTACATGCACGTAACGTTCATCGTGTCTCCGACGTGATAGTGCTTCTGTCCACCGTATATGACCGGTCCGTCGTCAGAGATCTCTGTTGATGGGAAAGAAAGTCTCGGGCTTAGAGGTTGCGCGCGAGCGGTATTCTGGCCAAGCCCCGAAGTTTCCATTCACTGAAGTGGCTCGAATGCGAATCGCTAGTCCCGGAAATTCACACCCTAGGCCGGCATTCCATCGAAGGTGTGACGAACGGACTAGGTCCCTTGCGCATATACCTCCACCAAACTCATCCTTCAATCACCAGGAACACATAGCCTTCCCAAACACTACGTTACCACCTCACATACGAACACACAGCGAGATCGATTAGACCGGTGGAACTTATTATACCTTGACCTATTGATTTACTCATACATTGTATCTAGAATGTAATATATCTTTAGTTAGTCAAATCACTCATCTCAAGCAGAGATAACAATAAACCAACGCGGAGCCGGCCGCCTTGAGGGAAACACACACACCGTTCCAGCAGCTGATCTCTCCAGAGACGCTTCTCCCGTTAGCGGCGCTACAGTCACCAGTCGTAGCACCGTCATAGAGAGGTGACAGAGAGAACATTTTCATCAACGACCGATCGATCAAGCTCGATCGGCACGAAGTACTCAAGTCGTCAACCTCAGGGGTTTCGAATCCCCAAAGTAGTTCAGACGCTAGGCCAGGGATCGTCCCGCTAGTTACTGTCTATCATCATCTAAAGTTAGTGCGTGCCGGCTCCGATGTCTCAGTGATTTCCTTGTGTCTTCAATTAGTCGTCGGGACCGTGCATCACAGAGGGTAACTCAGACTCCGTGGAGTCGATGGTGCAGAAACTGCCTCCTGCCCGAAGGCGACTCGGAAGACAGAATCAATACTTCGTGTATCATCGAATTGTGGTTCGTCCGCTCACCCATCGTCTAGATATACATACAAACACACATTGGGTCCGACGCTCCTAGACCTTACATGAGAATAGCACGCTGCACGTCGGTAGGTACCTCGGGTAGAAGGCATCCAGCCTAGTTTGTGTTAGCCTCGAGCTATTTGTCGCTATGAAAACGCACATCGATGTATGTGCGTCCGTGCTCCGGCATTTGTGTGTCTCACAACCACCCGAGCCGTCTACGTATATCGGTATCATCAGAGATATTCATCCTTCCCTTTTCGAAGAACTGCGAACGGCGACCGCCGACTGCACAACAAGTTCCTGCCATTTCTCGTGATATTGTACATAACTCAATCTGATCCAGATCGAATTAGAGTGCCGGTGCCAGCTACTGGAGCCCTAGTGCATCGATTAGGAATTGGGTAATCGACAAGCACATCGAACGCGAAGCTTCCTACCGGAGAATTATGAATCATGATCATCCCGTTTATTTCCAGGTGGCTCACGGCCTGCGTCCCGTCAAGGAGGGAAAGCGGATGTGGTGAATGCATTTCCAACATCCGATATGCCCGGTCGAGTCTGCGATTAGGAAATCTGGCGGACTTCTGTCATGGGCTTGACCTTGACTCCGACATATGTCAGCCTTGAGCAGCGGAATGGCGATGTCCGGCACCACGAGAAATTGACGTCAAGGGATGCCTCACCGGGCGCTCGATCGGTGGTCTAATCGAGTGATGGATCGAATGTCCGCGGACTACTCCGGAAACTTCCGCGCTCCTTTGTTTTTGCGGGAAAACTTGCGCAGAACATTCGGCCGGGCAATCACCAGGATCACAGTGCAGTCGAGGAGCCAAGAGAATCACAGATGACGGAGGCGGCTAAATCGTGACTCGCGAATCTACTCGGAGAATTTCTCAGTGATCAAGCCATGCGAAGTACTCTCCGACGACCCTTGGACAGCGCTGATGGACGGAGTAACGCTCAGAACTCGAATTCTCGGGATCTCCCGAAGATTCCCCTGGTGGATCGAATCATCGAAGGGCGGCACTGGTGCCTGAATTTTCCATCGCTCCAGTCGATTGCAATCCCTCTCGGATCGATTGACTTGTGAGATCCGTTCGTTGGTCAAGCAAGGGGGGAAAGAACGAGCTCTATGGGAGACGAGCTTACGAATCCGATCATTTCTCATGAGCATGAGGCTCGCTCCTGAATCGCGATACCAGAAGCTTCGGGCGGACTGAGAGGAAGCAACAGCCATATTAACGTCACAGCTAGGTTCCGGCTTGAGACCGGAGTGGCTTCGTAGTGAACTTCCACCGCAAACATCGGGGATTCCGACCGCAAGCTCCCGAGATTTTAGAGAAATCCCGATGGATAAGATCAGGGCTCCCGGCACGGTCGAAATCGACCCCTCGGAATCGATAACAAGTTCGAGGCCTCTGAGTTGGGAACAAGATAAGTGTTGGGGTCGATGATGTTCCAGGGATTTATATCTGACGGAGCAGCTCGGATTTCCTTCTGAGCTCAAGGGCAACCAGGAAGCTCGAAAAAACGAGACGGCCTTCGACTCGGTGAGCTCGATCACCGAGTTTTGAATCTCGACACTATCAAACATGCAATTATCAGAAGGAACGACTTCTTCATTTTCTGAGAGATGTTGTCGCTCCCATCGTTGCTTGAGCCCGACATCCAGGCTCTTACGAATTTGCTTGCAAAAGATTTTCTTGCCTCGGACGAGACGTCGGTTGGTCTTACATCACAATCGCTCATGCCGCGAAGGACACGAATAGTGGAGCCTTCCCGGTTTTTATATCGCTCTGTCTCGAGAGTCAAGAGCTCTCGTGAATCGAGCGACGCTCCTCTTTCCGTAACCTCAAGCTTCCGCACCGAGGAGGGAAGAGAATGGAAATCCTCGGCGCCCTTAAAGCGAAATTTCGAGCCCCCGGTTTAGTGTTTTGCTCTCTTCGTGTTTTTGTCATCTCTTCATTAATGAATATCCCTCTGTTCGCTGTCGGGCCGCGGCAGGCGTGGGTTTCTCCCGACGACCACTCTTCTCTGCCCTGGAAGTTCCCAACCGGCGGGAGGTCTAATTCTGCCTAGCTCAAAGAAAGAAGCGCACGAACCTTTCTGGTAGTTTTTGCTGTCGATCCCGGCGACGATCTTCTCGCTGCTCATGGAGAAAGATTCGGAAATCGTGACCGTGCACTTGAGCTTCATCGCACCTGTGTAGTCGAAGTGGCGCTTCTGAGCTCGGAATGTCAGTCCCAACGAAGACTTCATGAGTCCGTTTTGCCGTCTGATTGGATAAATCACCTCAGAGGCTCCGTCCTCTTCGGAGGGCTGGAAATGTAAAGGATCAAGGATACTTCGTGTTCATTACCGAGTCATGGCATTTATGAGATTCCAGCATTTCGGAAATGGAAATAGAACCCCATCAGCCCATCGCTGCACAATTCGAGGCCCATCGAGAATGGACACGACGGAGTGCAGATATTATGATATTATGTATCCAGGAGCAAGCATCGTAGGAGGGAAATAATGAGCAGAATGGTTCTCTTGATGGGAGAAACATGGCAGCCTCGTCCGTGATGGTGTGCGGGAGGTGTTTCAAGGTGAGAACGCGAGCTACGTGATCAAGGTCCATCTAAGTCGAGCCATGCGCACAATCGTATCGCACTCTCGCCATACCCGGTCGTTCCTGCGAAAGTTGCTCATCACACGCGCACTTTGTTTCTCACCATGAGCACTTTCCGGCGGAATGATTCAAAACACGCAAATATCACTCATTATTATCCGCCGTCCGACTGTTCTATGTAGATGGCTTTCGCCCCGGTCGGCAGAAAGATCCGCTCATTCATGCCGACGGAGTAGGGAGTAGGATTCGACCTTTATTCACAGCTAACTCCGAGCTCGAGGAATCTCGGGCGAATATCGGGAGCCCCGAACGAGTGTTGAGTTTTCTTCTCATCACGCGGTCGATTCGTGTGATCCCAGCAGCCAGCGGAAGACAATGCCTGCAGAAAAACCCGTGGAGGGTCTGGCGTTCGTGCGAGTCTGCAGGATGAGGACTCACGTGAATGTTCACAGTTTGATGTTCCGCTAAATAGCAGATGCACACGAGGAAAGTTCGGCAGCGCAGACGATAGATTGGAGAGAACGTCAGAAGCTCATCGCTCGCCCGTCATCGTCCTGATCTCTATCTGATCCGGCGTGACGCATATCGGATACATGCTGGTAAAAGCCATCCGAGCTCAGGAGATGAGAAGCTCGAGAGCCCTCGTCGCTCGCAGATTGTCCGCGAATTCCAGCTCCCAGGAGAAAATACGGACACTCGGGTCCCTCAGAAGACGAAATGTCGTCAGAATGGATCACGTGGAACCCGAGGTTCGAGCGCGCTCCAGGGGCCTGAATTCCCCTCCCAGAAACCCTCGGAGCCGTGGGAAGGGATGATTCCCACGTTCCAGAGGATCCAGGCAAACATATTACTAGCTGGGACGAAAATTCACGATGGGGGGATAACGAGGCCACTTCCCAAGACACACGACTTTTGAGAGGAACCGTGTTGGGGACGGCATTCTCCGGGAAACTTCCGGGCGTGCTTACATGGTATCCGTTGATGAACCACTCTAGTTTCCCGGCTGGTTTCGACGGTCCCGCATGGCAGGTCACATTGACGATGTCGTCAAGCGCGTACAGCGATTTCACACCGACGATCTCTGGTCCTTTTTTCGGGAGCACTGAAACGCACAATGAAAAAATACTTAAACCTAAAATTTCGAGTGAGCCTCGAAACCAGCCTCATACGACCGTCGCAACCCCCACCGGAAGGAATTCCATGGGAACGTTTCCCATTCCTTCCCGAAGTTTGCTTACCGGCACATCCTATCTCTACTGCGATTCGTACTTCGTAACAACTATCTACGGACAGAAAAAGCACACGAACGAGCCAACGCTTGGGCGGCACTTAGAAACCGCAGGTGGCGGGGCAACGAGCTGCTGCTTCTGCACTCGCAGGTGGTGAACCACCGCAGTGCGGGTGAAGATTCAGAAAGCGGTGTCTAGCGGAGGCACGATTCCCTCTGCAGGTGGAGGAATGCAGGTGGATTCGTTTCGCGTCTTCTTGTGCGAGGAGATCACGCCACTGGCTCACAACAGTCTCTCACAAGCGTGCGCTGAATTCCAATCGGTGGGGTAACGCAAGGCGAGGCAGGCAAACAAGCGAACTATCCGGCCCTTGTAGATTTGACTGCATATCAGACGATAAGCCTCGTGAATATCAGACAAGTAGCTTGCAGCAAACAACACCTCAAACCACGCCACTCGGAAAGATAGTCGGATCAACTCATAGACACGCAAGCGTTTGGAATCTGGTTCCGATGGGCGAGGGAGCTCCGAATGAGCAAGACCGTGACGCTCGCCAGAATTCATGACATGGAGCCGGAGTAGCGAAACCTTCAAGATTCCGTCCGGAGTGATCTCATCTGTCGTATCTCGAGAGACGACTCGGAATCGCCGTATAGCTGTGAGCCACGTGACTCATATTAACTCACCGTAGACTTTGAGCTCTTTTTCTGCGCTTATCGTTTGAAAAGAGGGTGCGTCGGCACTGATCTCGCACTTGAAGGTGTCCTCCGTCTGCAGATCCGTCTTCGACAGCACGAGAGTATTCATATTGGATTTTTTTTTCTGGGAACAGAAAATTTGTAAATTACTCGTGAGGCGTGGCGAACTCACGCTCCGCTACCGAGTGTTCCCGTCGCGACGGTCTCGCGCCGAATGTAGAGTCATAAGAAAGAGGGAGGCGGGAACTCGGAGAAGAATGCCGATCAATGAGGGGGAGGAAAAATCGAATGGTGAACAGAGGGAGAACGAAATGGGAGAGTGATCGCGGGAGAGAGAGAGAAATACCAATAGAGAGAACAGGGTGTATGATCGAAAGAAAGAGTTGGATAGAAGAAGATCGGAACTGGCGGACAGCTGAACGACGGCCTAGAGAGTTCCGCTTAATCGGATCCAATATGTGATCAGGCGGAATGTTAATTGAATAGGCTAGATATTGTTCGTCTCCAGCGCTGAGCAGAATTTCTTTAGCTGCTGCAGTGGAATGTCGTTGTCTCCGCCTGCTTCGTCTTCGTCTCTCCGTTCTCCGGCGCTGTCGACAGTTTCTTTCTCCACTGCTCTATTTGTTTCGCTCCTACTTATGTATAACTCACGTCGACGTAGACTCCAGGCAGAAAGTACGTTTTCGAGGGCGGATTCTCCGAAGGAATATATCTGCGAACGAAATTCTCTCGTAATTCTCAGCGTGATGCTACAATTCACAAGATAAATCTAAAAAAAATCAATGTCAACATGGATGGAGCCCCGCTGGATGGAAGAACGTACCGGCTAACAGGAAGGAACAGATAGAGGGTCAATTACCTCACAAATACACTCGGGTCAACAGCCTCGAGTCCCGAAGAAAGTAAGAGACTCTCGCAATACTTCGTATGCCTCTTCGAAGAGGGCGAACTCCACCAAGAGTGGAGATATCACCTTTGACATCGGAACAACAATACATGGTTCCGACCGTGGACCGTGAGGGAGAGGACAAAGGATGGGAGTGATTTTTATCTCGGAGTCCTTTTAGAGGCAGCGTCGATTTGTCCTCTGATCGTCTAGTCTCGAGTCGATCCGTCGACGCCAGAGGCAAGCTCAACCCGGCAGACCCTTATCAAGTGAGGGAGCTAATTAAACATCTCAGGAGTTCGACTCATCCGGGTATCGCAGCAGCGAAACTTTATCCCCGATCGGTCTCCTCGGTTTTTGCTGCTATGAGACCGTAGTTGTGTGTCGAACCGAGACTTCTTTGATTCATTCGCTGAGCCGCGATCACGTTTTTCAGGACGGAAACATCTCCGTTTCGGCGATATCAATGAAGGAAATTGAGAAGAGACACGCGGAGCCTGAAATTGGGGAGAAGCGAACATCCCGCGGAAGCTCTTTTGGATTGAATTTCGGTCTCGGATTCCAAAGTTTCGACCCATCTAATTGAAGGTATGGCGACACCTAGCGAAACTCTGGAGTTCATTCAGATCGCCTAAGGGCGACCTGCCAGTGCGCCACGCGATAAGGACGTGGATCGAGCGCTATACGCGAGCCGATTCACGCTGTTCACAGCTATATCGTATTCAAGCAAACTGGAAAGCAGAGGAGACGGCTAAGCGTATCGGGACTCCACCCAGAATCCTAGATCAGTATATCGCCTCGCTGCTATTAGAGCTTCGGAGACACTGGTCTCACGAAGCAGATGTTCGCAGAACGATGAACTATCGATATTGCTTTCACTTTTGATAATTCCCCGATGATTCTATGGAAAATCGTGAATCAATACAGGGATCCGGAATGCCGAATGGGGACCCTCGGTTCCATTCGATATATACGAATATATGAGTTTCCTTGTCGAATATCCCGTGATCCAGGAGCGAAATATCTCGACCTTGCGTTCAAGTCTGCTCGAATGATATTCACCAAGTAGAGAAACGGATAAACTTTGATGACACGTGGATTGGGACGAGGTAAACTTACCTGAAAAATTCGCGGTTGAATTTGTACCACTTGACCGAGTAAAGTTGATCGTTTTCCAGATCAAACGAACAGTTGAGTGCAACTGATTCTCCGAGGATCACGCCTCCGGGCATGTCGACCCGAACTAGTCTCAGAGCGCGGCTACCTGGAATCCATGAGTCGGTGTCACAGAGTTTCTTACCCTTTCGTGTGCTCTAAACTCCTCCATTCCCCTCCCCCGTTTCATCTCCCCCTTACCCTCCCCATAGGGTCCCTTGATTCTTATCGGCAATCGGCGGCGAGAATTGCGGAATGATTCACTCGGCGCTGACGGAGCGAACAATGACATCCAGGAATGGATTCGCTCTTCCATCTTTCGAGCGCGAGCGAACTCTCACGAGTTGGTCCTTTCACCTGACTGACACTTGCCATTTGTGTCTCCTTCCTTCGCAATCGAACAGGCCTTCAACAGGGTTTCGTGAAGCCGGAGTGGCACCCGCGGCTCCACCTCAGAAAGATAATAATCCTCCGATTCGACCCCACTCACACACTGACGCACGCACAAGGACTCCACCTCTCGTCTAGCGCGAACCCGGGCCCAAGCAAAGTTGAGACGTGGTGTCTGCCGAGCCCGAACGCGGGTTTGGACCCAAACCCAAGCTTCATTCCTGGCTGACTATAGGGCATATGTCTGTTCATCCGTGTAATCGTACGTCTGTCAGGGAGTGACCGGGCGCAGATGGGGGGAAGGGGTGATCGTCAGACCTAAGCCGAACCTGCGTTCAGGTCTAGGAGGGAGGATTCATACGGAACGATCCCACCCATTCTCGGAAGTGAATGCCCAGAGGACATCGTTCATTTAGGAGCGCAGACCACGGCACACCTTCCTCGCTCAGTGTCACTGTCCCCCATAAGTCAAAGGGTACGATCCGCACATCTGCGAGAAGCTTTCGCTCACATTCGATCGTCACTTGGGCGCTGGCTGCGGTCCAAACAGCCACAGCCCGAAATTCGACGTGGGAAGACGTGAGCATGCAAGTCGGAACGTTCCTCGAATGATACTTCGTGTGGTTCATCCTTCTGGAACTGTTTCGGGTCTCTGAAGCAGCGTCCCTAGAATTAAAGCTCCAGATTTGGCGCGACGTCGGAATGAGGATATTCTGTCGTTTGGCCGCAAAAACTGTCCGATTCATCCGCGCTCTCTAAACATCGCGGTTCTTTTGAAGGGATCGTGTGACGACCCGATCGTCCCCACAAAACGGGTCTCGGGTAGGTACATGCCTGATTCGTGCACGAACACAGCGATGGCTGCTCCAGCTGACGTTCGACGACGAATTGCGGCCAGCACCATTAATGACTTGTCCCCGTACGCCCCGTACTGAGTCGTTTGGCCGCCTTGGTCCGATGGTCGAAATCACGGAACATGTCACGTTTATTAATACGATTATCGTGAGTCGCTCTGTCGCAGCTCTGGACGTGCCAACGTTGACTCTCGACACCCATTCTATTCTCCTCTATGCAAACAGCCTGAACACATGAATCCTATCCATTCGCGAAATTACGACCGAGTTTGATTGAATTGATTTCGCAAATATCGATTGCTGCGACAACAGATTCAAGAAGCTCAGCCATTCGCCGGGGAAGGAGGTGAGTTTCCTCAGCCCTTCCGAAAATCCTGGGCAAAGGTGGCGCCCCAATGCGCTCATCGATGCACCGCAAACATCGAGAGAATGCCGCACGCTTCTAATTACCTATATCGTTCTTCTAAATCGAATGGATAGGATCCGAATCGTTGATCCGGATTCCGCGCAGAATTCTGCCGCTTCCACTACGCGAGGGGCTCAGCGGGCCAGATTTGCATAAATTAAAGCGAATTACGGATATGTCATTTTTTCGAAATTCCCGTCGCCGACGGGACCCGGCTCCTTTCCATGGAAATAAATAACAACTCGATGGTTCTTGAAAGCCGGGAGGGATTTTCGGCCGAAGAGGAGGGGAACGAAGACCGTCTTGAGAGACGTTCCCAAGGCGAGCCGAGAAAACGCGCGCGGCTGTTTTCCGCGAGATTCGCTGTGACACGCGTGTCACACAACTGTATGAATTCCCAGGGCGGATTACGCCTCAGAGCGGGGGCTTGCGAGACAGGAAGAATATCAAACAAGATGAGAAATACTTACGATCCACTTGCTCCTCGGATACGGCTCAGAAAACGCTCGAATTCGCGCAAATTTGAATACAATCTATCTCAGTATCCCGAGTCGAGGAGCTGCATGGCGAGCCAAGCGAACCTTCAGTAAACAGAGAAACAAAATCTCAAGGGACGAAGTGGAAGAGCTTCCTCGAGGAACAAATTTCAGAGATATTGTCATAGAGGAATATTGACAGGAATACTGATAGAAAGAGCTGTGGATTTCAGGGATTCATAAACATTTTGGAGCATAGATAAGTAATCATGGGCGCTCATGGGCACTTATGAAAATAATATGAGCATTTACGATTTTTGATCATTCCGAATAGTTTCCGACTCCCTCCACGAGTTCCGTGGCGCTCCGTAGGGACGGATCAAGCATGAGCATCTCTTCCGGTTGTGGGGAACTTCTCCAAGTTCCTATCGACGTCTGATGCGGGGCATCTCATCAACGCTTGTGTATTGTTCGAACTCTACTGCGAACGACAACCCTGAGCGGGAACCCAAGGAGCTTCCACCGCCTCCAAGACGAACTCGCGTGGGGCAGTCGAGACTATGTCACTGAGCCGAATTGAACCCTATGCAGGAAATGCTTCAAAAACTAACATTTGGGCTAGAGCATGGAGTGAATGATGAATGCTCTTCCTGTCCACGGAAAAATAGAGACCTGCCCTCTGCCCTGAAAGCTGAGGAATGGGATAGGCCGGGACGTCGAGTCGACTGAGAGACTGATCCGAGGGGGTGCTCCCTTGCAGTCACTCCGATTCTCAGTTCGTGCGGCACCGACGCAACGGTAACGCGATCGAACACCCTCTCGAAGCGACTTTGGGTACCAGAACGAAAGCTCCTCTCGATCGTGATTTTTCGATTCTCGGCTCTGCTTCCGATGGAGTCAACGTTGAAAACTGTTAGGGACCTCTTCGAACCTCTCTACTGGACAAGCGCCACTCAAAGATTCTCTGAGCGGGGACAGAATCAATCCAGCCGCATGCCACGACAGTTCGAAAAATCCCAGTTTTACTTGGGATTCTATCCAGATCGCTCCTGGGCCGATTGTGAAGATGCCGAGGCCGCAGTTGAATGCCGAACAGAAGATAGAGCTCTATATCAGTGAGTTCGGTGCGGACGTGTTCAGCACTCATGGAGTGAGTCTGACTTGCAAAGTGTGCAACGAGCTTGTCATCAAAGCTCATGGAAGCGTTCTGCGCGACGACGACATCTGGACCCTAGCAGCGTCTCCAACGCGTGGAGAAGGCTACCGAATCTGAAGTCTCGAAGATCATCATCGAACCGCCCGCTTGCGATAAAATAGCTTCATCATGGAGCTATGACGAAACTAGACGGAAGCCAGCATTCCCTCAGCATCCCTCCATACTACACCACGCAACGCCTGTTCGAAGAAAGTATACGAAAATACGATGCAGAAGATTCGGGATCGCGTAGACACCAGGGGCCGTCACAACCTAACCTGTTGGGTTCGAAAATCCCCAGAAAAACGATCCATTTTACCGAAACGATTTTAATCGCTTCCCTCAGTGTGCTGAAGACGGAGGGCATCTCTGCTGCTCTTGGTCACCGGTCTGCATGAAGGACCCGGCATTGCTCCGAGGGCGAGCTTTCCAAAGATGATACATGGGACCTTCATTGCGCACGGACTTCAGAGAGTTTTCGAGGGAATTCGCAGCCTCTTCGCGAAAACAAACAGCTCGATTGCGAATCGTGGAATTCCACAACGCGGTGCTCACTCTCGCCCTCCCCCCAGAACCTGTCATAACGCGTGAATGTCGGCCGCCATGCACTATGCAGGAAATTTCGACGACGTCTTCCGCATGGTGACTGAACTGGATCTGAACGAAGCCGTATCCCTCGTCGCTGACTTCCATCGCTGCGAACCCTTCGCAGTCGCTTAGCTCCATCAAGCGGCTCGAGCGCAGCTCGCTGACTCGGACACCACCCTGGAAATCATCGAGAGCGTGGAAGCATGTCTGAGGACCACAGGGTGGTTGAGTGAAAGAATAGATCCAAAGAATCCTGCCCCGGAACTCCGTATTGGACGTCATCTTCCAGATATTCCGGGCACTCAGAGGCGAGCTGGTCGGTGAAGCGATAGCGGAATTATTCAGCATCTCGGAGCTCTCGTTTTTCAACTACGTTCCCTCAGTCAGCGTGGATGTGGAGAGAAGCTTCTTCCGCTACCGAGGAGTCCTGTCGGATCGAAGACATTCACTAACGCCCGGGAATGCCCGATATCGCCTTATAGCCGATGTGCTTTCAATGATTTTTGAGCGAAGGGATCCCGTAGTTGCAGGTTCACTTTCGGCATCATCAATCGTCTCTTTCGAAATTCGAGGCTCGTGAGTGCCCAAAACCATGAATGCGTGTCCCACATGCCTATATTGAGTGCTCGAAATAAGTATTCTAGATGCTAGAATGCTTATTTTGAATGCTCGAAATTTCTTGTACGACTGATAGACGGCGAGGAATAACACGACGAATGAGGCGACGGAGAGGTGGACGGCGGATAATCCCCCCACAAGCGAAGGAACGAGCGCTCAGTGGCTGCATACCTGAGTATAGCTCGTCCATATTAGAAGAATGGATCGGATTTTTCTGAGAGCGCGGGAGGAGGGAGAATGTTATTCGCGTGAACATCCGGGCCAAAGAAGAAGGATTTCATCTGAGTCGTCGTGAAGTCAATCTGGAATATTCGTACTTGTTCCCCGTTGACCGCAGTCGGTCTCTCCGCCCGAGTGTTATCGCTCCTTTTTTCTTGTTGATTCCGTCGTCCCTCAACCATTCCGGAAACGCGTATGTCCGCGGCAGGACGTCGTTCGGCGAAATGGCTTCCGCGGCAATCAAACTGGCGCAATCTTGATTACGACCATTCCATTCCCACCTGTGAGAGTGATGGGAAGGGGAGCGAATGGCCTCGTGAGACGACGAAGGAACTGGTTGACCATAGCATTCAATAGCCGACCTTTCCCTTGGATGTATCTTAGTCAACGGATGCCCCAAATTGAAGTGTTTTCGTCCGGAACACCGCCAAGGTGTTTTTTCCCTAGCTAAAAACCGTCTTATGACCGATCAGACCGGAACTCGCAATGGAGAGCTCCGCTCCGACCCATCTCTGAGCCCAAGTTGGAGCTCTCCCCAGGGAAGAGAGAGAATGAAACACAAATGGTAGAGGAGAGAAAAGGTCGGGGGAGGAACAGAGAGAGAACAAAAGAGGAAGAGCCGCTTAAAGCTAAAAATGAGTGCGACCGTAGACACGGAGGGCTGAAGAGCGAGGGCTTTCATTCGTTCTGTGTGCGACATGGAAAAACTTTATTGCTCGGACAATCCACCACCGCATGCATTAATACCCACTGGAAGGCAGCCGAGGCCCGCGGAGATTGAAGGAGCAGACACCAGGAGAAAGAAGGAGTGTCGGCAGGCCGAGGGTCGTCGAGGTCGTGTGAATACTCGTTGTCTGCGTGTGCGACAGTAATTGAGCATGTTTGTTCCAAGGTCACGCTCCTCCTCTTGTTATATGTCGTCGTTGCTCGCCTGGTTATATTTGTCTCACTAATGTTGTGTATCTTCCACCCCCATTAATCTTCGCTTATTTTCTGGATAAACTCCATACAAATTCACGGAACATCCCCAACCCATTCTCCTTACACACACGGCAGTACAAAAAGTGAGAGAAGGGCTCCCAAGACGATGGGTTTCGACGACATGTTCTCTTTCTTTGGGAATCGTGTCCACTGAGTGAGAGGCATCGCGCTCCTGGTCGGGATCTCGAGTTCTCGAGAATGTCCGACGATTGGACCGACGTCATACACAGAATGGATGAGGGCGTATTTCAGGTCGCGAGTGACCCAAGAGCGGAAAAGTCGGAAATTTACG